GTGGCGAGGTTGGTTTTGCCACAAGTCCAGTCCTCCACTTCAGTGAGGGGTAGACCCAAGGTCCGTTGAAATTCTGGAACGTCCGTCGGTGTGGTGATGGTGTGTGTTCCATCGTGGGTTGTCACTGTAAGGGCAAAAGGAAAGTTCCAACAAATTTTGATCTGCTTCTCCAGTAGTGCCAAGGTGATGGGCTTCAGTGCTCGTCTGGCCTGTAGTGTGGAGGGTGAGAGATCCTGGTAGACGGTCACTGGGTGACCTTCAAGCTGTAGGTCTCTGTTTTGCCGTGCCTTGTGGAATATTTTCTCTTTTAAGGGGAAATTACGGAGGCGGCAAATGAGGTCGTGGGGGTCTGTCAGACGGGAGGTTCCTAGGCCGCGCTGCTCTGTGTGCCCTATCAAATTGGATCACTGTCTCGGGGGGTCTGGCGAGAATTAAATTAAAGAGGGTGGTCAATACCTGAATAGGGTTCTCTGCAGTAACCTTCAGGCTTTCAGGTATTCCCCTCACTTGCAGATTGTTCCGTCGACCCCTGTTGTCAACGTCGTCTAGTTTCCTCTGGAGGTACAGTATGGCATCCGCTTGTGAAGTCTGCGTTTTGTGGCATTCTGACCACAATCTTTCAGTGGTTTCTTCCATGTCCTCCAGGGCCTGTACTCTGGCTCCTAGGTGTTGGACATCCGTGCTCACTGCCTACAGCTTTTCACTGAAGGTGTTCTCCAGTCTCTGGAACATGTCTATGAGATCATTCTTCGAGGGCAATTGTGTGAGTATTGTTCTGATGTCAGTGTCCTCAACTGATTCCTCTGATGCTGATGGGCTGGGTGGCTGGCTGCCTCGTGTGTTAGTCGCGGGCGCCATTTTGTTCCGCTCCTGCGGTTCAGATTGCTCCGTAAAAAATCTCCTCAGGGAGGATTTTGCAGGCGGATTGTCGGTGGTTGGGGTGTTACCCGTGGTGTTGCACTGCTTCTTAGTTGTCATTGCTCAAAATTAGTGCCGGCTTTTGTTGATTTTCCCCTGTCAAGCACGGAGCTCAGCGATTATGCTGCTGGTCTCATCGGAGTCCTGGCCACATCCCCACACTTTCATAACTTTCTTGAACAATATAAATCATTTCATTTTCATACACAATTATATGTAAACATACATGTTTCGCCAAGTCCACATTTTGATTGATTGTTTTTGAATAAAGCATCAATGAAAACTGACCCTGTCCTATAGCATTAATTCTTATGCTTATTTGTGCATGATGTACAGCATTGAACTAATATACTGGCATATGTCATGCCAAGTATACATTATATTGTTACAGTGAACCATTACTAAGCATTCATGTGGAAGAACATTTGGAACAGTGCTGTTTAATTATCTTGTTCCTAAAGAAAGTCCTAGGACTGCATAAAACTGACATAGCAGAAAATCTGTTTGCATTTTTCATCCAAGAAATTGTTCTTGATTTGATGGAGTTTTTGCTTCAGATGGATTACAGAAAAGCACACAAGTACAACAGCCATCTCTTAAAGTTTTAGAAATGAAACAACACAGTGAATTAAGATTAACAAGACAAGGGTAAAGGAAAATATGAATTATAGTAAACACATTTTCTAACATACATTAGAGTAGAGTTGAGCGGACACATGGATATTCGGGTCCAGCGGGTTTGGCTGAACTTTGAAAAAAAGTCCGGGTTCATGCTCGAACCCAAACTGATTGAAGTCAATGGGGACCCAAACTTTTGGACACAAAATGCCTCTAAAAAACTCCTGGAAAGGACTAGAGAGCTGCAAAAGGAAGTAAAATGGGGGTAAGAGTAGGACAAGTGCCTTGCAAACAAATGTGGATAGGGAAAATCACTTACAATAACATAAAATACCTAAAAATTAAAAATACAGCCGAGCCATAAAATAGCACTAGATGGAATCTTTGATTTTAGCTTTGGAAGATCATAAATCTAAATCTAAAGCATGGCTGTCAGGAGGATCACCAGAATTATACATTTGAGAGAGGGTTGGAGTGCAGGGTATTCACTTTCATTGTTCAAACTGAGCTCAACTCCTGATGCATGGAGAAAAGGCCTTCACAAACCTCTGCTATTGTGTAGATAGTTTATACTAAGTGACTGACCCATAGGTTGAGGAGGCGGTGACCGTGGCAGTGTAGGTGGAAACGCTGGTGGAGGAGGAGGATGAGGTAGCCAACACTGTTTATATATATCTAATTTTTATTTTAATTGGGGTAGCCCCCAAAATATTGGGACATACAAAAAAAGAAACATTTGCGGCCTGTGGTGCATTTCTTGCAGTCCTGATGCATGGAGAAATGCTGAACTCCTGATACATGGAGAAATGGCCTTCACAAGCCTCTGCTATTGTGTACATAGTTTATACTAAGTGACCCATAGGTTGAGGAGGCGGTGACCGTGGCGGTGTAGGTGGAAGCAGCTGTGGAGGAGGAGGTAGCCAACACTGTTTTTTATATATATATATATATATATATTTTTTTTTTTAATTGGGGTAGCCCCCAAAATATTGGGACATATAAAAAAAAGACAACTCTGTTCCGCAGAGTAGCTGTTGACATTATAGTTGCGCAGGCACTTTGTTGACTCTAGAGAACCTCGGGCCAATCGTACATCCCCGTGACGGTGGCTTTGCATTCGGATGTCATCCATATCAACTTTCGATGCCAGTTTCTGTGCTTACCATGGTGACCACAGGTAACAGGGAATCAGGGTTCCATTCCGTACAGGGACCCTGAGAAATGGCTACCACATGCAAGGAAGGCAGCAAGCGCGCAAATGACCCACTCCCGTCGCGGGAAGGTAGTGACGACAAATAACAATACAGGACTCTTTAGAGGCCCTGTAATTGTAATGAATCCACTTGAAATCCTTTAACTCTGATCAGTTGGAGGGAAGTCTGGTGCAGAGCCGCTGACCTGTGCGTGCTGCAGCTGAAACTCCACTATCGCCTGCTGCTGCTCGCACAGTCTCATGAGGCAGTGCGCGGGAAGGCCGAAGTTACGCTGCAGCGCAGACAGTCGAGCAGCAGCAGGGTGAGAACGCCGAAAGTGCGCACAGCTGCTACAGTGAATGTCACATCCTGTTCCAAGTTGCGGATCAGTCTGGTGATGGCTTCTGGTATCCAGTACTCTTTTTACTGAGGCTGCATCAGGGTCCTGGTATGTGGCCACACAAACACCAGGGGGCGTGCGGTTACCCTGCACCAGACCCTGCTAATCCATTCCACACTGTGACTCCTAACTTCAACATCAGGCATACTGGGTCCTGGTCGTCCGACCGCTGCCCAGACAGTGTCTGGGTCCCGGTCACCAGACTGCCCACCTGACTGTGAAACTACGAATGGATCATTAAATCTGGTACAAAACTAAACTTTGCAGTTCGGGTTCGCACAACTCTGTTCTGGATCCTTTGATCGCTACATGTATTACTTGGATAACTGGAAATTCTCGAGCTAATACATGCCGACGAGCGCTAGGGGACGGCCGCTCCGCTTTTGCACCCTGCTTCCTCTTATGCTGTGCTGGTGCCTCTGTATGACCAGCGCCTCCTCCTCCAAACTGCACACGTCACTCGCATGACCTTGATTCCATGTGGGGTGTAGGACCTCATCATCCTTTCACATCATCTTCCACCCACTCCTGAACCCTGTCCTCCTTGCCGGTATGCACACTGCAGAAAGCCACAGCAGTTGGCACCTGTGTTTCTCCAGCATGTAAAGTCTGCAAAGGACATATGGAAATTGTTTTAGAATTGTATCCAGGCAACAGTTTTCCCTACACACTGACCTCTCAGTTTGACTTGTGAGGGTATTGCCCCAGAATTATAATTATAGTTATATTGATAACTGGTTAAAAAATAGCAGCTTGTTATCTGGTAGTTTCTAGTGTAGAAAATATCAATCTGTTTTCTATCACTTAGCTCTGTGTAACAAATGGTGTAGGTGTGAAACAATATTACAAGTGACCAATGTAGTAAATTCGAATCAAAGTTACGCTTTGATTTGACTCTCATGAGGAGCAGGCCCCAAAATTTACTATTTAGCAGATTAGCAGCATAACAATTAGAATGTTTACAACTGCGCTGTAAGCACACTATTAGACGCTTCTATTTGACTCTCAGATATGAAGTGCATCCCACTAAAATACTATTTAGCAGTTTATCACCCAAAATATTTTAAGTTTTAAAACTGCAATGTGACAGTGCAATGTGACGCTTCTATTTGACTCTCAGATGTGAAGTGCACCCCACTAATGTACTAGTTTGCAGAATTCTTTCCTAAGCTGTCCCTCACAGCTGCAGCATCCTCTCCCTACACTAATAAGAGCTCATGTGCGTGCGGCGCTATGCAACTTCAGCTTATATATAGAGGCTGGGTCACATGCTGCACTGGCCAATCCCAGCCATGCCATTAGTAGGCATGGCTGTGATGGCTTCTAAGGGCACACGAGTCAAACGCTTGTTGATTGGCTGCCCTGCAGCCTTTGAAAACGTGCCATTAAATCGCCGAACACCGAACTCCAACCCGAACATACAGTGATATGTCCGTGTTCGGGTCCGGGGTCCAAAAAACTTAATGTTCGGTATGAACCCAAACTTTACAGTCCGGGTTCGCTCAACTCTACTTAAGAGGACTTACTTTTGCCATTGTAGACATTGCATTTAAACTAAATCTTACTAATAACAATTTTTTTCTCCATCATTGTCTAACAGAAATGACAGTTACCTTATCTAGAGATCTTGATTAGCCACTGGATACCCCAGAGGGGCAAAGACTAGGCATTTAGTTGATTACCTTAAATTATTTTGGCTGGGGCATCAACTACAATTGGCAATGGGCATATTTATATATACCTAAAGTTGTATAGTGGTTGTTTAACCAAATGAAAATAAAAAAAGGCAAGATACTTTTGTAGAAAAAGCAACCCTTAATATTGGGTTTGGAACTTAAGCTTGACAATCTTTGCTAGAACATCATTTTTATTTGACACTGGCTTCGTCTAACGTATATGTGTATGATACTTGAATGCAAATCATGAGAGAAACATAAAATGGGGGAGTACTAATCCTATATCTCTTTTTCCATAGGCTGGAAATTTGTGATTGTACTATACATGTGATGCATTAATTATAATTTCTTGTTCTCCAATTATTCTGTATACTTGTATTTTAACTAGCAATATGCAGAGTCAATCTGCAGTTGCTAAGGTTAGTAAGGTTTTGTCATGTATAAATAGGGGCATAAATTCTCGGAATGAAAATATAATTATGCCTTTTAATAAATCGCTGGTAAAACCACACCTTGAATGTGCCGTGCAATTTTGGGCAACTGTTCTAAATAAGGATATCATGGCACTAGAAAAAGTGCAGAGACGAGCTACAAAATTGATAAAAGGAGGGAGCATTTTAGTTACGAAGAAAAGGTTAAAAAAAATTTAATCTTTTTAGTTTGGAAAAACGGCGGATGTGGAATTCTCTGTCTGAAGAGGTGGTTTTGTCAGAGTCCATACAGATGTTTAAACTGCAATTGCAAAAACATAACATAAAGGGATATAATTTCTAATTAGTGGGGTAATAGCTGCTTGATCCAAGGAGACATCTGTCTGCTATTTTGGGGTCACGAAGGAATTTTTTCCTAGTTTGTTGCAAAATTGGAAGCGCTTCAGACTGGGTTTTTTGCCTTCTTTTGGATCAACAGCAAAAACATATGTGAGGAGACCTGAACTTTATGTACGCAAGTATCTTTTCAGCTGTGTAACTGGTTTTCACCACATGTCTAAGGACAAGTCATTAAAAGGTAAGTCCTTGTTCGAATATGTGTGTTTTAGTTCCACTGGAAACTATGTGCCCTGTCAGTCTGCTTTCTGGACCTGGGGAAATATTAAGAAAGACAGGACTGGCAGAGGGGTCAATGCCTGCCTAGGAGATGGAGAACTGGCAGACAGGTCGATACCTGCCTGGGACATAGAGCACAAGCAGAGGGGTGGATACCTATCTGGGAGATTAAGCATGGGCGGGGTCGATACCTGCCTGTAAGAAACAGGATGGGCAAATGGATCGAGACCTGCATGAGAGGACAAACCCTTCCGGAGACCAACCCAGGTGGAGTAGCTATAGGTGCTTGCTTGTTCCCGGGTCTCAGTAATGATCTTTGCTGGTACACCTAAATACCCAATGGTGTTTAATCACAGGGTCAGTCTGTGTGTATGAGTTTTACAGTGCAGGCTTAAAACTAAAGGGCCACTGCACTCAGACCACTTCATTGCCCTAAATCCAAAACACCAAGAACAAGGTCAATATATGGTCGCAGAAGGGTTCTGTAGATTTTATATGATTCAAATAGAGGATAGAGTTTTTTTGGTTTTTTTTAAGGAATAGAAGAGACCTTCTAAAAGAACCAGAACAGAATTGTTCCAGCATTGAATAAAGACTGAGCCCAATATTGATCTGGATGTTTGATGGTCGAAATATCAAAGAAAAAGTCATGAAAGACTGATAGGTTCATGCCAAAATACCTGCCAGATTAGTTAAACAGACTACTGGATAGAAAATATTTATGTGTACGTGTTCTGCATGTTGTAGAGGAGTTTCACCCCTGATTGTTGCACAGGGCGCGTGCATTCATATAGGGTCTGCATTGAGGCACCTGTGACAGAGAGTTGTGCAACACCAGAAGCTTTTTGTCAATGCTTCCATATTATACATAGAACAAAAAGGCTTGTCTTCCTTAAGCATGTATAGTTTATAAGGGTATTGCTGGTGATCAGTAGATACAGCAATACAACAGACAAAAATTCAGAGATACCTAAATATAAATATGTAATACACATGTTAAGGATACTTGGCATTAAACCATGAATTAAGTGAAAATAACGTCATTGAGGAAATTTAGAGGCATCATAATAAACAGTAAGATTGAACATTCAGTGGTGTATTAATATCTCCAACCTTGAGTTTGTCGAGATTAGAGTCCACAGATTGCAAAGTGGTGAGCTGTGCATTTGAATTATTGCCCATTACCTATATAATCTATAATTGCACAGATGATGTCACTATCCAAGCAGTACAGGATTCTAAAACATGATTTGCCAGTTACAATATTGGGCAGATCACATTATAAATCTCCATATTTACTTATATATTTCTTATTTACTATATTTTCTCATTGAAATATTCACACCGAGTCACACACGCCTAGTGAATTAAACAAATAAGACTCTTGCGTCCCATAGCTTAGGGCCATACACCGATTGATACATTCATTGTTGTGACTAGAATTTACTGAATGTCATTAGTATTTGTTTATTATTTATTTATAAAATATTTTACCAGGAAAGATACATTGAGATTTCTCTCGTTTTCGAGTATGTCCTGGGTCCACAAAACATTGCATTGATACAATGGGGTACAATAAAATACAAAAACAATAATAAACAATATATACAAAATTTACCATAGAACAGGTAGGAAATATATAATCAACCATGACAGGTGCATTCTCAGGGCCGTCTTTAATAACGAATGGACCCTGGGCAAGTGTTTGCTTGGGCCCCCTGTGCCCTGCCGCTCTCGCCCCTCACTCCCTGGTATGCAATCACGGCATCCATGCCAACGCAGTGGCGGTACTAAAGTAGAATGAATTTTATTGGGACCCCCAATTGCAAGGTTGGACTAAAGGTAGAACCCCATCTGTCGTGCAACTCCAACAATGCTTTCACAGCTGGGACTCTACCAATTTCCCATGCTTGCAGGGTTGTATTTAGCACTGAGCCATGTTAGTATGTTTGAATGTAAGCATGTGTTTGTATGG